TCAAGCGATCCTCCTGCCTCAGCCTCCCGAGTAGCTGGGACTATAGGCATGCGCCACCATGCCCGGCTAATTTTTTCTATATATATTTTTAGTTGTCCAGATCATTTCTTTCTATTTTTAGTAGAGATGGGGGGGGTCGTCTTGCTCTTGCTCAGGCTGGTCTCAAACTCCTGACCTTGAGCGATCCACCCACCTCGGCCTCCCAGAGTCCTAGGATTACAGGTGTGAGCTGCCGCCCGGCCGAAAAACTCTTAAGAGAACCAGCTGAAAGGAGAGGGAAGCGAGAAGAATGCAGTTACTCTAATTATTTCACCTGCCCTCCTCACTCCCTGTCAGGTACAATGCAAGGACGTAATGTTTTCTGTTTCTATTTTGCTTTAATGTTTAATATTGTCATTATCTTCTTTTGTACCAGTGTATTGTTTTAAAATATAAATCTCCACAAATAGGAATCATGACCCTGTAATTCTAATGGCCTTAGGAAAGCCTACCTCTGAGGGAATTAACAAAAGAAATGAAGATTAGATAGACTAGAGAGGATAATATAGTAATAGCTAACACTTAAGGGAAGAGTGTGTGGGAGGATTTTTTAAAACTTTCAGAATCTGCATAATCTATAACCAATGTTACGTTTGAGTTTTCTGTTTATTTTCTTACTCCCAGTTCCATCCCCCTCAGAATGTAAACTCCAGTTATCTTCCTTCCCTCCCAAACTTCCCCCTATGTTGCCTTCACAATTCCTCCCACAGTGGTGATTACTTATGTAAACTGAAATAAAATTTTAAGGCTCACCCCCTCCACCAGCTGACTGAATGGACCCCCTTGTGGCCAAAGGAATATCCTAAAACTAAATTGTCTGCCAGGAGGAGGGAGGTCAGACATGCCTCATCATGCCTCCCTCCCTTCTTGGGGACATCCTTGTAACCTATTAGCAGGCCTAAGGATATTCAAGACAAGCCTGCAGGTCCTCAATTTACACAGCAAATATAGGTCCGGTGGCTTATCTCTGATTAAGAGCTTCTTATTTTAAAACATTCCAAGCCTCTAGACAAAGCTTCATGTCTTTAACCAACTACAAGGCAAAGAATTTTTAAATCCACTTATAAGCTGTAAGCGCCCTCCTCGCCCCCGCTTCCAGATGGCCCACCTTTTTGGGCCAAACCAATGTATGCCTCCCATGTGTTGCCTTATGACTTTACCTGTAACCCCTGTCTCCCTGAAAAGTATAAAAGCAAACTGCAACCCAACCACAGTGAGTCCACTTACTCGAGGCTTCTTGGGCGTGGCTCCGGGTCATGGTCCTCAAATTGGGTTCAGAGTAAATCTCTTTAAAATTATTTTACAGAGTTTGGCTTTTTTTTTTCCGTTGACACTTAATACTGAGTTTTCTGAAGAAAGAGGTAGGGGTCTGAAGCGTGTATTTCTTTTGAAAGAGGACTTCCGCGTGTTGGCTCACTCCTAGCACTTTGGGTGGCTGAGTGGCGGGATGCCTTGAAGCCAGGAGTTGGAGACCAGCCTGGGCAACAGTGAGACCCCCTCTCTATTACCCAGGTGCACCGCGCCTGTAGTCCCCTCTACTCAGGAGGCCAAGGCAGGAAGATGGCCTGAGCCCAGGAGTTCGAGGTTACAGTGAGCTATGATTAGCCCACTGCGCTCTAGCCTGAGCGACAGCAAGACCCGCAAGAAAAAAAAAAAAAAAAAAAACTTCAAGGACGAATTGCTCCACCTCCAAATCAAGTCCAATCTCACTGTCATCTCATCAGTGCATTCATATTTTGCTTTCCCTGTATTCCCACCACCCAGAAGAGTGCTTGACACCTGGTACGCACGCCAGTACTTGTTTGTTGAATAAGTTAATTCCTTTTCTTAAACATCTGAAACTGGTCACAGGACAGAGTAGTAACTGACATCTTGCAACCAGCGGACAGTTTGAAAAGGGCCAGAGGGGCCTCAGTCAGGCGTAGTACAGCCGGGCGGGGAAGAGCCTGAGCTCAAGAATTATTTTCCCTTGACGGTTCCCACAAAAATTATCCTAACGCGACCAAATGCTTTGTGTGAACAAGACGCAGCTTTGTAGTTGGAAACCTGTGACCCCTGTGGTAAAATGCGACACGAATTTGTCTAAAGTCTGCCTAGCCAGACGTATTTCAAGTGGTCAACAAAGGGCGGGACGGAGCAACAAAGGTTCTGACATACTCTTAACAAAGCCACAAAACAAAATGGCGCCCTTCCTGAGGCGCAGGAACGCAAAACACGCCCACACTCGCGGTACGGGCACGCGCCCGGGCCTCCCGGGCCACGCTCAGGCCAAACTCGCGTGCGCGGGGACATCCAATGAGCGATGTAGTGAGTTTCCACACCCGTTTTCCATCATTCCCTGCGCACATGCACTCCAAGCCCTTAGCCGGATGCCAGTTGCGCAGGCGCAACAGTCTCCTCCTTCCGCGCAACTGACGCAAGGAGACTGTAATCGGTTCGCAATTTATCCCTTGTGACCTTGAGTCTTTCCTGCCTCCGAGGACCAGGGCTGTCTGAGATGCTGCCTTCATACGCCTCTTCCTCTCATTAACTCTCACTGAGCCCAGAAATGCTGCGGCTGGAACGGGAGGCCAGGCTTTTTAAAAAAATCATGCCGCGGAGCACATTAGCTGTTCGCCCTGGCTCCGGGAGTGGCAGTCAGGTCGTCTCTGGTCAGGCGGCGAGGGCGGCGCCTCACCGGAAGAGCGGGCCTTCGAGCCGCAGTGACCAACCCCCGCCCCTCACCCCACGTGGTTGGAGGTTTCCAGAAGCGCAGCCACCAGCGCTCCGTACAGCACTCTGCCGCCCGAGCGCTTGTTTGCTGCTTCGTACTCCTTCCGTCTAGCCGCCATGATAAGCGCTAGCCGAACCGCGGCAGCTCGTCTCGTGGGCGCCGCAGCTTCCCGGGGCCCCACGGCCGCCCGCCACCAGGTAAGGAACGCCTGGAGGAGGGCTCAGGGCCTTGTGCCTGAGTGCAGCAGCTTGTGCCCTTCGGGGTCAGAATTTTCCAAGAGAGATCAGAAGGGAAGGAAGATAACGGGCCTCGCATAGTTAGCGTGGCCGATTCAAGGCCTTGTTCTGGGTTTTGCCTTCGTGTCTTGAGTCCTGCTGAGTCACACTCCTTGCGATTTAGAGTGTGGTCTCATAAATCAGCAGGTAGCGATCCTCATAGTTCGTTCTGTGTCTAGTTGGATAGATTTGGCCGTGGGGGCGAGGGATGCAGTCTATCGGGAGAGCCGGTATTTTCATTTTTATTTTAACCTAAGAGGAGGATGGTTCCTCTTCCCTTCTGCAAAGTACAGTGTGTGCAAGGATCTCATTAATATGGCGAAATAAAGGAAGAAAACACCTGAATAATAAATCGAAATCAACTTTAGTTTTCGTGCTTAGGAACATTTTCTCAAAACCTTCTGTGTGAGATTGTACTCCTTTGTCATTTCAGAAAAAAATAAGCAGATCAGGAAAAAATGGCCGCGGAATGGTTGCTCGATATCATTTAAAATTGAAAACATATACATTCAGAAAATAGCAATTGTATTTCTATTTGCACTCACGTGTGGGCATTAAGGAAGGAGCCGGAAGTTAGGATGTAATCAAGATTTTTTATTTTGGTGGAAGGCCACTACTTAAATATACATGTGTATTTTTAATGATTCCATGAAATTAGTGACCTTAGTTATGTTAAACCAGTTTTATGGCAAGGTCAAGCTAAGTGTCTGCTTCAGGGTTTGCCCCCAGGGAATATCTGACAGTGTCTGAAGATATTTTAGGTTGTCACAATTTAATGGGGTGTTTACTGGGTTCTAGTGCACAGAGGCCGGGATACTGCTAAATGTCCTACAATGTGCAGAACTGCTCCCAAAACAAAGATTTGGCCCAGAATTAGTAGTGCCAAGGTTGAGAAATCCTATTGTAATGTAGTTCAAGGCTATTTCATGTTTGCTTCTCTTATTTGGAAAATTTATAGTAAATG